GGGGCGGGGCGGGGGGGTGGGACCCTGGTCGCGCTTTGGGGCGGGGGGGGGGGGGCGGGGCGGGGCAGGGTGGCTGCGTGGTCCCCCGCATGGGCAGGGCGCCCGAGGCCCCGTCTGGTCTGCGCGCCTGGGGGAGGGCAGCGGCCCTTGGGTCGCCCCCAGCCTCTGTGTGGGTGTGCTGTGTTAGGTGTCCCCTTCCCATGCCCTGTTTGTTAACGTATGACTTCGCTCCCGTTCCTGTTTTCTTTGTTGTTGGCTCAGGCAGTTAGTTGGTATGTCCCCAGTGGCCTCCCTTCTTAAGGGGGACTTATAGTTTCCATGATGGGCTGAAGCCCATGATATCAGGACATATCAAATAGGCCTGTTGCTTTTCACTTTCTTCCCCTTCTTTATTAGCCTAAAGCCAGGCGCTGGCTCTCCCAGGCCAGGGCTCTTTGTTCTCGTTAGCGCTGAGCAGTAGATGCTTCAAGAGAAACTGAATGTGGCTTGTTCTCCACAGGGCTCCGGTCTGGCAAACTTGGGGAGCAGTGCGAAGCCGTGGTCCGTTTCCCCCGGCTCTTTCAGAAGTACCCCTTCCCCATTCTCATTAACTCGGCCTTCTTGAAGCTGGCCGATGTTTTCAGAGTCGGGTGAGTGGCATGATTCTCTCGTTGCTTCGAGTCCCCGATCCCAAAGTTCTCCCTTGTTTTTTCCTCATTGTATGTGGAGCCAGGGCAGTTGTCACTCTGTGATTTTCAGACTGTGATCCCTGGAGCATTGCTTGCTATTGGTTCTGCAAAGAGGCTGGGGGTAACAGTGGAGCAAGCTGGAGGTGGGCAGTGTGCTGCCACTGCTGGGCGGATGTCCTGGCTCTGTATCATAGTGTTAGTCTTTGGGAGAGGGGTGGGGCCCCATGGCAGAAGAAGTGATGTGAAAAGTTTCCATGACTTCACCATGTTTGAAAACCACTGGCATTGCATTTGTGTTACTGCAGCCACTCTCCTGCTGAAAGAGGATCTGTCTGTAGAGCCTGCCAACTTCACCCTCAGTGGGCAAGAGTGCCAGTGAAGGATTGAAAGCCATTTGTCATTCCATCCCTTTGCCATCTCATCTACTGAGGATTTGCCTCAGTTACCAGTGGCTGATCAACAGTGGTTGTAGTGCTGCTTTGGTGCAAACTAATAGTTCTGAGCCTCAGGCCACAAGCTAGATAGCACTGCCCCAATGCTGGATTTGGACTGGCCCCACACCATTCGTCTTGCCCATGGGGCAGAGAGCTTGAGCACCACTGTTATAAACCTTTAGGATCAAAAAGCTGAAATAAGAGACAGTTCTCCATTTGTGTTGTAAATAATTTAAGCGTCATCTGTAGCCCTTCCAAGTGCAAAATACTCACTGAAGACAGAATTAGAGGTGTTTGGTTGTAGTACATAGATACATTATATTGTTCTGGTTATCATAAGGCTTGCTATATGCATATGCTATACAGGCATACCTCGGAGATATTGTGGGTTTGGTTCCAGACCATCGCAATAAAGCGAGTCGCACGAATTTTTTGGTTTCCCAGTGCATATAAAAGTTATGTTTACACTATACTGTAGTCTATTAAGTGTGCAGTGGCATTA